TAGAATGCATTTCAAAAGTACTTTAAGAGCTGCTTTCATCAATCTTTATTATTTATTGGTTGACTCAGATGACAGATCTGAGCTACTTTATAGTTGGAGGTGTGGTTGATGAGTTGCGTGCCCTTCTTGACCTTGTCAAGGGCAAATGTAGTTTAAAGTTGTTTATAAACTATAAATTTAATGGTAAAGAATGATGTGAAAATAAATCTGATGTACTTCTGAAATGATTAGAAGTAGTACATTGTGTAAACAGGATACTACAGTGGGTTAGTCCCTGAAAAGTGTGATTCTACTCCTAAGACTGCTCTGAACAGACATGTAGTGCAAGATGATCATTAAAAAAAGATTTCTGTCACTACACTTAACGGAGAATGGTGATAATTTTGTGGGTAGTAGCTACATATAACAATGAAGCTAGTATGAAAGGTTGATGCCTGCTATTTTAAAGTAAGTAGGTAAATACAAGTTCCATTAATTAATTGAAGAAAACAGTTCACAATGATTAGAAGAGACTGTTCTGTTCTTAACCTCCTGAGGGCTTGGAAGCATAAGGTTTCTCTTTAGGCAGACCGGGCTGGAACGACTAGGACATTCAAACTCGTATTGGATGCCTTTAGCTCTTAGACATTTGCCCTTTAATTACATTGATTCCGAGTTTCTTCCTTCTGTAATACTTCAAACACCTCCCCAATAAAGGGTAGATTTGCATTTTAGTGTACATTATACTATTGGAACGTAATCAGTGTATAATAGTATGTTACTGATTGCTACTCTGCTTAACTTAAACAAGATGGTGCAATGAGTAAAGAAGAAGAAAAAAACAAAAACAAAAACCAGGATTAGAGTATTTGGGAGAACTATTTGTGGTGTTTTTTCCAAAGCAAAGACTAGCAATCTCAATACTTTTGCAACTCTAAGAAAAACAAGCTGTACACAATAGTAAATGGACCTGGCATGGCATGTGGATGAATCGCTAGTTAATTGTATTCATGGTTCACAAGATTATACAAATTGCTGTGAAGATATTATAAAGTTTTAGTCCTGGAGAGCTTAAACTGATTGTAAAATGGCATAAAACCATTCATCATGAAGCTTGGCTTTCATTTGAACATAATAGGGAATTTGCTTCTGTGCTTCCTGCATCTGGTTTTAAGTTCTCCCTTTGTCTATGACTTTCCAGGACTATTTCTGAGTGGCGTATTATAATCCTTTGTCCTTCCTCCCCTTTCTACCCGATCCCCAGTTCAGCCATTCGGTTTTACCTAACGCAGAGAAAGGCAGATGAAATTCTGGTACTGTGGAAACCAATGGCAATCCTCTGCCCTATTAATTTCATAATGTAATTGCAAAGATAGAGCTAAATGGCAAAATAAAGACTTGCACATAGTTTCTAGTTGACAGCTTTCTTAAATTCCTTTGCATGTTTACAGTTTTGCTCTGATGCACAGATCTTTAGTAACAAAGTTAGGATGCAAGGCTGCCTTTCCCCAGAGATCAGAGGAGTCTGTGTCTAGACTTTAAACTGGGACGTACGCCTAGTATTAAGTTACTCTTTTCTATATGCCCATTACCGATTTCTGGAATGTTTAGATAGGAAGAATTTTTACTTAATTTCATGACTTCCACTGAATAGTGTCTGTACTCTTCTGGAATGAATTTACAAGCGAATCTCAAAGACAAAATTATATTTAATTAATTTCAGAAATTCTTAAAACAATACAAAGTATGTTAAACAAAAGTGTATTAAAACAAAGCATAGTATACTAGTGATCATGTTTCTCTTCAGCATGAGAAGTAAAAACCCTAGGGAATGTTTGTGCTACTTCTGACATAAGCTTTAAAGGGATTCTATGAGATCCTGTACAGAATAAGCTTTTTCAAAATCGAAGAACAGGAATACTTTTGTTTCCAGATGAACAATATTTTTCAAGAGGTGTTTTCAACAAAAGTGGAACAAGACAATGCTAGTATATGAAAATCAAAAATTGATGAGATGCTAAGTATATTTTAGTATGAGTGAGGACTGGACTGGGACTTGTTTAGCTCAACGCCATAAACAGCTCCTCCTTTCCTGGTAGTGGCGTGAAGAGATATGCTGTGAATTCTGCTGCTTCTCTTGTAGATGGGTGGAGGAGTGGTGAACCATAACGTTTAATGGACAGATCTTTGACCCGTTGTAGTGACTTGGTAAGAGATTTTGATCATATGTCTAAGACTTCATTTTTAGTTGCCTGGGGTGTGACAGTAGACATGAGTAAAGCAGGCTAGAAATTGAGATATATTCACGCAACACAAGGAATGCTTTAAAAAAAAAATCCATCCTGAATCCGAGTGCAAAGTACAAAATGTAAAGATTTCAGAAAAAAAAATTCTAACAAAAATATCAATTTTAGTGTAACCAAGTGGACTTCTTTTTTTTTTTCCTGAGGAAAGTTTCTGTCCATGTTTCCTTCTCTCCTTGTAGGCACCTGAAAAAAACTTTGTGGGTAGTCAAGGAGCTAATATTATGATTTTTTCAAAGAAAATTGAGGTTATTAGTTCTAAAGAAAAAGAATGTCAGTTCTTTCTAAGAAAACTGGAAGAATTTTCCACTTCTTTGTGTTTCATTTGAAAATTAACATTTTGGCATGCTTGGTTTGTTTAGTAAATGTCTACAAGGTCATTCATGTTTCAGATCGTAGCTGCCTACTATGCATTGTTTGATATTAAGCCTCTAATTTGTATATCCTTTGCTTATCTAGTAGATGGTGTGCTAATTCAATGTTTAGTCCAGGTGTATTAGGTGCATTTAGTTCAATTTATGAATTAAATAATTAGGATAGAGAGCCACAGATAGGCCCATTCTAAAAACAGACAAACAAAAAAAACCCAAAACTCTCCACACCAGAGTTAAACTTAAAGGAAATTTTTGTGACTATCTCAAATTTGAATCATAAATTTGAGCTGCTTTCAGCCAAATCAGAACTATATGATCAAGCACTGTAGCCTTTTATGAAGTGTGGTAGGCTTCAGAGTATATATGTCCGGACTAAAATTTTGCAATTCAGCCATTTTTTGAAGCCAAATTATGATATTGCTCTTCACTCCAGATATTATGACAGTCCAAGAGCAGCCCATTGACTGTTAGAGATACCACATCCTGTTCCCGGTGAATGACAGCATTCAAATCTGCCCCTGATTTAGCAGCAGCAATGTAACCTTTGTAAGTTTCTAACACATTACTTTAGCAGAGATTATCAAGCTGATAAGTGCTGCACTTCTGAACTTAAGAGGCAAGAGTGAATATTAAAAGTGGAAAACACACAAGAGGATGTAACTGATATCCTTATAGCTTAACTGCTCCAAAACATTTTTTTGTGAATACATAATCCAAGAACCACCCACACAGATGCTGATCTGAGTAAATGAAGCAGCATTAAATGGTAATGCTTTTTCCTTTAGTAGTTTTATATGGTTAAGAGAGTTGCCAATTTATTAAATAAAAGTTCTTTTATATCGTCTCTGGAATTACCAGATGTTTCTATAAATTGATGGCATTGATGCGTGGATGACATTTTTTGCTTTAAGGAAAAGTTGCAGGTCTTCCTAGATAGCTGTTGATTTAGTTTGCTCTTATTTTAGGCCTATTTAAGAGTTCCTTGCTAAATCTTTGTTGCTTTTGCTCATAAGAGGAATACATACTTGAGAGTACTCTCAGTGTATTATCAAGATATGCATGTGCCATTCTTTATTTGCTTGTAACAGTGACAGAATAATGGTATTGTTAGGGAGAAAAGTATTAATATAATTCAACTGAAAATTTTAAAGTGCTTTACAGACTTACTTTATAGATGTACTTCCTAGATAGGCAAGTTTTGCACATGATGTACCTGAGGCCCAGAGTTTAAGCCGATTGACCGAGGTGAAACAGAAACCTGCAGTTGAGACAGTGCTATTCAAAATGATGACTTCTCTAACTATAATTAAGGTCTGTCTCTTTCAGCAAAGATGTGTTTGCTATCATCTGCAGTGGTCTAGGTGGCAGACTTTTTGTTACTGTATTAAGAATGATGATTGGTGTAGAATCTCATGAGCAATTTGAACAGCCTCTTGCACACTTACTTTCAGTAATATTCCTATCAGGTTCAGAATGTGGGCCCCATCTAGGCAATATGTAGAGGAAGAGTTTGGGCAAGCTCCAGCACGGGTTCTTTGTTTTGCTTTTTTGCCTTTCTGTTAAAAAACAAACAAACAAACAAAAAAAAACCCCAGACATGATGCATGGACACTTTCCTGAAGATGAATGCATTGAATTGTTCAATACTTTTCAAATTTCTAATTGTCTGGCAATAATAGAAGTGAGAGTGTAATGGCATTGCATCCTCCAACAAAACACTTGATTTTCCTGTTGAAGACACTTAGAATATCTCTAACCACTCACAAGGCTAAGCAAATAATGAATTCATCATTTTACTTGAACAACATGGTATTTTAGATTGTGAGCCTGCAAAACTTTGCAGTGACTGCAGTCAGTTAGGATTAAGTTCTTAATGAAATTCTGAGAAGACTGTAAAACATATTGCTTATTATTATTTAATGCCATTCAGTGTTCGGTGGGCTTTGGCTGGACTCTTGACAAGTTTCTCTCAAGTTATGTTTCCAAACAGGTGATGATTTCAAGGATAGGTTTAAGATGGGCTATTGACTCTATCCTGCTCTTCGTATTCTTCCCCAGTAATAAATATATGTTCTATTATTTACTGGGCTGCGTACTGCTTAGATGATGATGATAACCTCTTGTAGAGTGTGTACAACATCAGTCTTTACTCCCTTAGCCTTACTCAGTAAATTCATTCAAATACTCTCACTTTTATGTTGTTCTATAACTTCTAATCTCTTCTCATCATATAGCTACTTGCAAATTTGACCTTGTATTTTTAATCCGTGTGATGCTTACTTCTATAAATAAATTCTGATAGGATTGTGGTAAAAATAAAGAACAAATGGAAGAACAAATGTAATGGTATTGATCATCTTTATTTCAGAAATTTCAACAGAGTTTTCAAGTAGATGTGACACAGCAAGAGGTAACGACAAATTTCCTTGCTGACTTCAGACTTCTGAGACCGTCTTACATGCTTTACTCATTTACAGTGGTGCTTTAATGATTTTAAATATCAATCTTCTGAAGCTGTTATTGGCATCCACGTTATAATAAGTTAATACTTCTTGAAACGGAACTACTAGTAGCTATTGTGTATATAGTGTTCTTCTCATGAGAACCTACAGCGTTGCCAAGCTGTGAGATGTTTTACTGATTGGCAGAACTGAGATAAAAGTTGTGGAAATTAACTGTTGCCAACATCCGTCATCAGGTCGTGTGGTATCTGTTTTTCTAGCAGCTGGGTGGCTTCCATCTCTTCTGCTGAAGACAATGCATTAGCAGTCGATCCATAGGTAAGGATTCAGCAATAGCTTACTCAGCGCTGCTCTAGAGTTAACTTTCCCCTACTGCAGGGGATACCCACTTCATCTAAATTGCAGCTTTTCCAAAGACCCACACGGCATATTCCCATTCCCTAGAATCTTCCAGGTCCTCTCGTGTTCATTTGTATACAATTATCCCTGCCTGTCACAGGATCAGAGGGATAAATGGTACTTTAGGAGGTTTATACTGCAACCCTCCCTGCTTGAAGCAGGGTCAGACCAGGTTGCTTTGGGCGTTACCCAGTCAGCTCTTGTAAACCTCCAAGGACAGACTGCACAGCCTCTCTGGGCACCTGCTCTGCTGCATAACTGCCCTTGCAGCTTAAGGTTTCTTCTTGCATCCAGTCTGAACCTCTCTTGTTTCAATTTATGCCTGCTGTCTCTCATCCCTCCACCGTGCGCTGCTGTGCATAGCCTGGCATATTGGCTCAATAACCTCCCCCAGGCACTGGGAGGCAGTTGTTAGGTTCCCCCCCCCCCCCCACCCTCTCCAAGACCAGCTCTTCTCCAGGCTGCACAAGCCCAATTCCCTCAGCCTCTCCTCATAAGGCAAGTGCTCTTGCTGGACTCTGCAGAACTTGCTCTGGTTTATCCATGTTTCCTGTGTTGGGGGGCCCAAAACTGGACATGATATTCTAGATGTGCTCAACTGATGCCTCTCATCAATTGCTCACTCCTCCTTTTGCTCACCTGCCAGAGCAATTTCAGCCATCGTCCTATGTACCCCAGTCACTCATAGCTACCAAAGTGGTATTGACCAGAATCAGAATGCTATGGCCATATGCACAAATCTGAACACAGTCTATTTTTATTATAAATAAAGCTAATGACTCTAATTTTCCACAAGAACCATCACATTCAGACTTTTACGGTGGTGGTATAAATTCCAAAAGTTCTTTGATATAGGTAAGGTCTGTCCAAACATACAAAAAAAGCTGTTTTTAAGGATTGCTATACTAGATATTAAAAAATAACGTGTCGATTCTGCTTATTTTACAGAAGATATTTTTTTCCCCTGAACTTTCTCATTAAACTTGTTTTCCCTTTCAAACAATGAGGTAGAAGAGGATTTAAATGCTCCCTTCAAGCAGACCTCTGATACTTTTTGACCTGTAACCACAATACACACAAGTACTATTAGTTTTAAAGTACAAATGCTTAGAAAGTTAGTGTGAAAGGCACATGAAGTCCATTAAGTATTTAAAAAACATGGCAAAATAGCCAAGGTCATAATAAAAATTAGTTGCGAACATATGCAAAGTAATTCTGTAACACTCTTAATATGCATGTCTGTGTATTCAGTTCCACTCTATGGAAGCTTCACTCTTTTTGATTCTCGTTAGGGGTATTTACAGATGGCTGCTGAAACCAAATAGTGCTCCTTTGGGTACTGTGAGACAAGGTGTCTTGACAGCTTCAAAATCAATCTGGTATACGACTAAAATTGTAGAGAATTACTGCAGTTCAGAGGCCATACAAGTAGCTGAAAGGCCATGCTGAAACTGGAATTATGGCATAGTAAAGTTTCAATAACTGATGCAGTTTAAAAGAAATTCAGTTATATCAGCAGTAAAAATAAAAGGGCTGACATGGTGGAGGCATCTTAATGAATGACTCATTAATTTGAGCTGGATGTTGCATAATAAAGACTTAGTCTTACAAATAAAGTAGGGTCGGGTTGCTAAAGACAACGTAGCTTATACAAATAAACAGTAGTAATGGTTGCTAATAATAGTCAGTAGTACTGTTAATCCCAAATATTCAATCTATATCCCCAAATCCTGAAACTGAATTCAGACCTATATGGGTTTCTAAAAGAAAACAAGAAAAAATATGGTTTATTTTCATTTCACTGCTTTTTTAATTGTTGGAATACATTATTACTCCTTTTATCAGAAACCATAAGACCTTCTTTACTTATGAAATTCCCATGAAGGCTCACGATCACATTTAGGTAAAATACAAAATATTTGAGATACGTTAAAAATTGCAAGAATTAACAGCAACAACAGTGCAAGTTTTATGTTTTTTTTTTTTTCAAGTTACTATTGTTTTAGGGTAAATGTTGTGGAAAACTTTGACCTGCATCTTTAAAAGTAACTAGTGTTTTTTGATGTTCATCGCTTCATACTGTAATTAGGTTTGATTTTTCAGAGTTCTCTGTACTGCTGTCATTCAGTCATCATTTCTTTGAGGGACTTGCATTGTGTGAAGGGGACACATTTTTCTGTTCTGCTTTTTAAGTTGCTGTGATTCTGGAGATAATTTCATGATTTGGAGGGACTAAATCACAATTACCGTTTCAGTAAATAGTGGTTTTTTTGTTATTTAGGGAGCAATGAACAAAAGTATCCGTAAAAGTAATAATAAAAGTCAAAGCTACAAATACATATTTTTAATTGCTAAGTTTAAATTCCATGTTTCCTATGGCATGACAGTAGAATCATTTAAATAATGAAAAAAAATCTTTAGATATGTTTTAAATATTTTTAAAATGTACATTTCTTGTCTGTATTTTGATGGGCATAGCCATTTTACTGTTAGAATTTAATATTTATGAACTTTTTTGAATTAAATATTTAGTATCCTATATTCCTATACACTATTAAATAACATATATGTGTTCCTATTCAACAATATGAATATAGTTTTGTGACCTATTCTAAGTACATTAAAGTCCATCATACCTCAGCATAATGAATACACGGATAATACTGTTCATTGCTGAGATTAAATTAAGATGTCAGACTTCCTGAAAATGAAGCATCCCAGACTATGAAATAGTTCCTAAGGGAATAATCTCATACTTATTATTCATATTTAAAAAAACAAACAAACAAAAAACACCAAAACCAAGCAACAGCAGCAAAACATATCAAAAAGAGAAATCATTTGAACATGATTTAGTATTGGCAGCCTTGGCAGGATTTTCAGTGGGACAATGGAAAGCTTCCCATGGGACCATAAAATAATCCTGGGAAACTCTTGCTAATTTCAAAAGGCTGTGTCATCCTAGTAAGTACTTTGTATCTCCCTTCAGTCTTGATTGGGCTCCCTGAAATGAACCCATTGGAATGACTCTGCTGGCAGACTGGCCTCAGAAAGACTTAACTGATAGGATGTGCCAGAATCCAAGGACAGCGCAAAAACATTATTCCTTCCCCCCGTTACTATGATCACAGGCCAGTCATTCAGTCAAACATCCCCACAACATGCCCTACGTGCCAGGCAGAGCTTTTGAAACCTACAGTCGAATTGCGTTCTACTTATGGCTTCCACTGAAAATGAACCGTGTCTCTGGATACCATTTACAGCCCAGTGCAGTGGACACAGGGCTCATATTAGTGGTTCAAATCCTTTGGAAAATATATCACAAAATACATAGGAAGTTGTTATTTTCTAGAGTTACTGTATGTTCTTACATTATGCTCTTGTTCCATAGACTTCTCCAAGAGAAAAAGTTAGGTTTTTAGTTAAAAGAGTAGAAATGCTATAACTTGGACAGCCTGAAAGTTACTTTTGTATTTCTTATAATAATAATAATAAAATTATTCAGAGAAACCAAGAAAGTGTTTGAGGCGGAATTGCATTAATTCAAAAGAGTTTTAAATAAGTGAAACTCAGAACACCCCCCTCCCCGAAGTTTTACTGTACGTGCATACTTTTGATAGTCATAACTTTGGAAAATTTTATATGCCTGTAAAGTCAGATTACTTTCTTGCATTGGTTTACTAAATAAGGCCTGCGGTGCAAAGCCTGGAGAAGGAGAAGCTTTCTGTGGTTACCTTTTTGTGAACCTTGGGGAGACCGCAACTCAGCTAAGAGGTGCCTATTGACAGAAACTCTTTACGGAGGAGAAAGCTTGCCTTCATTTACTGGTGAATAAGCAGAAATGACAGAATAGGTCAGACCCTGTTGAATTTTGATATGTTACAGCTTGGCATTTTAGTCAGATGCTGTTAAGATTCAAGTATGCAGATAAAATGCAGTTGCTGCTGAGTAATGAGAGAGCAAAAGTATAGTCCTAACACCCTTAGTTTCTGTTGTTTCACTCCCCATGATTAATCTTTCTTTCCTCAAGGGACAAAGCCAGAGTCAAAGTGTGCCTGTTTACGCAGGAGCCCAACATAACATTCTGCTTTTCAAGATTTCCAGGTGGGGCTTTAAACTGATGTTATTTAATTTATTTTGGGAAGGAATCCCTAATTAATCAGACATGACCTATTTTGTTGTACTGAACAGCTGCAAAGGAGTTGTACTAGAAAGCTAAAATCATGGAAAGGACCTACTTTTTATTAATTAAGTGCAGTGACACAAACATTACAAAGAAGGTTGGGGCTGGATCATCTCTAAAACTGACAGAAAACAAATTTTTAGGCCAGATCCTGTGTTCGTTATCAGGTAGAACTTGCCAATAAAATCCGAAGCGGTTTTGTTGGAGTAGAACTGCTCCAGGATTCCACCTGGTATTTTAACAATTGCAAACCTACACTGTACGTGCATTTCATATTTTTAATAGATATTGGCCACAGCTACCATGCTCATATGTAGAATTTGGATTGAAACCAAATCTGGAATCTGTCAGGTTCTAGGGTTTTACATTGGCCCATCTCTTATTTTTACAGTTCCCTAGGCACTGTTCAGATTTTCAGACACTAGAGAGGGAGGAAAAAAAAAATTACTATTAAGGAAGATTAATAGCAAATGGTTATAATATTAGAGCAGTTATAGAGTTAGCATATTGCCACTTGTAAAAACATTTTAAAGTGGAAAACATTTTACATCATTAGAGAAACATGTTCGATACAGTTTTGGAGGGCATCGCTTTGAAATAACATCAGTAGACAGCACCAATATGGCTAACGGGGCTTAAAAATATTCAAGGTTACCAGTGTCTGGAAGATCTCTTAAATGGGTATTATACACAACTGATCTCCAAAGAACATGACATTGATGATTATCACTTAACTTATGATACCATGAATAATAAGAAAAAACATATTTATATGGATAGCTAGGATTCCACAGAAATTAGTAAGAAAAGAGGTATAAACTTAAATACTAATTTTTCTAGCAGAGGTTGGAGCAGGGAACTTTTGCATTTAGTTTCCGGGTCTCCTATTTATTATAATTTAAATGAAAATAAAATTGGGATGTTAGTTCAAGGAGGCGTATGTTGCTGTACATTGTCTTGAGTAAATGGTGCCGGTGGGATACAAAGTTAGGCGAAAAAAGGCATTGCGGCCACAGGAGAATGCTGGTAGCCAGCAATACAATGCACAGTTTCAAAAACAAAAGGCTTTTGAGGTACTGCCAAACAGAATGTAAATAAAAATATTTTGGTATACAAAGACATTACTGCTGCAATTTTATGCTTTATCATTTGCAGTTTAAAAGGAGCTTGACAAAGTAAGATAAAGGATTGTACCATTGTGAGATTGAAAACTCTGTGAAATAAGATGAAAGGAAACCACCAAGAAAAGGTAGTATCCGTAATATCTGCAGCTGTGAAAAACCAGAAGCCCTCTGCTTTTTTCAGTTAAGAGGGAGGAATTAAGCCAGGAAATTAACACAAAAAGAGAAGGCTTTTAGAATCAGATAGTTTTCTTTTTCCCTGTCCCATACCGGCTCTGAAGCATGAGTTAAGGTTGCATGTGTAAAACACCACAGTTTATTGCAACATTTGTCTGGAAATTGACTAAGTTTGTTTAAGTGTGGGAGAAAAGAGAAACTTGCCTTGTTTTGTTGGTTTGGGTTTTTCTGGTCAGTCCCCTGCCAAGATTAAACTATACAGTTGCGTTTAAGTGACTATATATTTGCTGCCTCGACGTCGATCAGGAACACTTAAATAGCAGTGCAGTACAAGAAAGCGCTGCTGTAGAGATGAAGCTGTGGAAATGCCCACAGCTTGGTCCTGCGATGTGCTGGGCGCTGGATGACATCCGCTTGAATCAATCCAGGTTGCATTTTAAGCAAGGCAAAAAGGTCACGCAGGCTGCCGCAAGCAAAGCTTTCAGCAAAGTCTGGGTGCCGGAGGGAGGGAGGAAGGGAGGGAGGGAGATAATCCTTTAAAGCAAACAGAGTTGGTTAAATAATGCCGTGAAACTTCCAGTTCTCAACAATGGTCAGAGATCAAGCTGTGTTTGTATATACAGGGTTGAAGGTTAACCAGTAACTAAAGTCCTGCCTGATTGCCACAGGTTTACATTTTCTCTGTCACTGATGTTTGCCAAGTGAGATTTTGTGAGATTAGAAAGAATACAGCTGCTCAATGGGTATATTATAGGCTTTACCCAAAGAGAGTTAAAGAAGAGGACCGCATTGATACGATACGCGTTGTGAGTTCAGGCCAGTTTGAGAGTCCTGGTGGATCGTATAACTAGTAAGAACTGAATTCATTAAATTTTAAAGGGCACTCTCAAGCTGAAACACCACACTTCCCTCTCATTTCATACTTCAAAGGCATTGCAGCAGTGTATAAGAATACTGCAATTAAAAGAAGGTATAAAGGGATTTTTTTCCCCCCATGTATTCTCTTTGCTACTTGATAGCCCTTACCAGAAAGTTAATTTCACTCTTTGCATTCTTTAACGTTCGCACTGCTTGCTGAAAAGATCCTGATAATCAAAAAGAAGGGTAAACAGCTTCTCTTGCTAAATAATAATAAGCAGCACATCATATGTGATTACAATGGTTTTGCCCAGTAATTTTCAAATAACTGATAGTGGAGTGAAAGATTATTTCCTTTGCAGAAATTCTCTCCTTTGACACTTAATTCTTTCCCCTGTCTTTCAGCCAAGCAGAGCTGGTAAATTTTTCCCGATTCTTGATGCTTCTGCTATTTCTACAAGCTCTGAAAAGAGCTTAAGAAATGTCTGTAATGAGATGTGTGATCTTGTTGCCATCACATTTGACTGTTGAACTTAACTTCTTTGTTGTTTACAAAAAGAATTATTTCTATTAAGCTAAATTACACTGAGGTAGAACTGATTTCTCTTGCTAATAAGTGGTCTGGCAACAAACACAAAGACGACTATTCATACGAATAAGCCTATTTTCTGTTCCAGCATGTACATTTGTCCAACACCCGGTACAAGGTGATTCTAGTTTAGCATTGTGTTGTGGGGTGGTTTTTTTTCTTATTACAGTTTATAAGTAGTAATAAGGATTGGTGCAAAGGAGTGAACTTTGGCCAGCATTGTTGCTCAGAAACTTGATGCTCTGCAGACACTGAAAGTAAATGCAATTTCTCATGTCTAGCAGTAGGAATTACTAAAGGTTGCCTCATTGTGCTCAGTACATAGCAGGATAGGTTTTAAGACAGACTTCTACTAAGGGGAATTACTTTGCGTGTATGATACTTTTCTCAAGCATGTTCCATGCAGTACTGACTCACCTATTCTGGCAATACAAAGTTTTGCCTGAGATCTATTATATACAGCAGAAGAATATAATGTGTTTACTTTTTAAAGCATATCTCATAACCCTGAGTAAATGAAGTTTCCTAAGTACAGCTGCATTGCAACTACATTAAAGGCAGAGAAATAAAACAGAAGTCAACAAGTGAATTTCAAAATCTAAGCTGAAGTCATGAAGAATGATTCTCTTCTTTCAAATATTGTATAACATTTCTAAGGACCAAGCTCCTCCATCTGTACCCCTACTGAATGGTACTTTACTTTGGACATTAGTCAATGTAAGTTAGAGAAGTAGAATCTAGCACTCAGAGGATCATGAGATTTATTAAAAGCACTTTTCACAGACTAAGATTGAATCCTAGAATGAGAAAAATCTGCTAAATTGACAGTTGTCATGAGTTTTCTTTCTCAACTCAGACTAACTCCCCTTCCCTTTCGAGGCATACACCTTTGTACTTATGAGCTGCTGCAGAAATAATAACTTGAGTGGAACAATTTGGATAGCACAGAAAAGGATCCCAGTAGTCCCTGGATCTGAAACAAGTGACTCTGTAGTGGTAACTGTTCTGTATGACTGTATCCCATGCTGGGTTTCATGCAACCTGCGCATGAGTAATTTCTGCATCATAGGCTTTACTTTATTAACTTCAAAAATGAGAATTTTTACCTTTCTATTTTATGTGAACCGAACTCCCAATCATTTTAGGATGCTTTCCTTGATTTTCCTTAACTTACGAATATTTTAGTTATTCCTAAACATCTGCATTTCTATTCTTAATTAATGTTATGTAGAAAATAGTTAATGTTATTAGTCATTACTGTTATGTAGAAAGAGGAGATCTCGCCAGCTACTGAATACCCCAGCCAGGTGGTAAAAATGGAGGCAATCAGGACCTTATGAGGCAGTATGAAAATTATCTATCAGTGGTTTTGTATGCCACTTCCATGGAGTAAAAGACTTAGGCACATATACCTGATATTTTATATGCCAAAAATTCTTTAAAAAGTAGGAGCTGTCTCATAGGTTTTCACTTAATTCTGCTTGGTTAAAAGCAGGAAAAAATTCAGAGTCTAGGAACTAAAGGTCAAAGTCCACCTATTTTAACATTTCATTTACTGACACTCACACAATAGAAAGAGATAAGTTAGAGATTAAGGCTTTTTTCAAAAATTAAGGTAATTAAAACATTAATTATATCTTTCATCTAAACAGTCTAATGCATAGTCAGCAAAACAAAAGACCTTTAAAAGCATTTAGTAAGTAAATGTTTGTGCATAGAGGGCTAAACAAAGATAATATTAAGGCTTAGTTAACATCATTTTGCTTACAATGAAAGTTAATAGGCTGGATTAGAAAGCATAGTTTTCAGAACCCTTCAAAATTACTTTTGGCCTTGTCAAGAAGTAAATAGCTTTTCTTTAGATACTCTTATCTTAGTAGCAAAGGAGTCATAAGGTTTCAGTGCTAACACAGTTAGGAACTTTCTCTTATTCATTAGTTAAACTTTTATAAGGAACGATTAAATAGTTGAAGTACTGAGACCATTGGAAAGACATTCACATTTTTCTTTAGCGTATGATTTTAAACATTTGAGCAAAATATAGTTGTAATTCTACTGAAGCTGTATGAGTGACACCTTCATACATTGTAGTCAAGTTAATCAGTTTATCACTCCATATTTGTATATTGTTGAATAAATTCTCGAGCGTGGAATTTTTTAATGAGCTTTTCTCCCCTCCACTTTTACATGGGAATAAGTCAACTCAGATCTTTAATACGGCCCAAGGTTTCCAGATAAATATTGGCTAAATACTGACCATCTGCTGAGAAAAAATACACTGTCTCTGTCGGCGGGTTTCACTGTCAATTAATGTTTTTGTATGACTTCATTATTAGAATTATATGCGTGAAAAAATTGTTGATTTGGAGGTTTTAGTATTGTAACTCATAGGAAAAAAAATCATGCTTCTGTATATGCAAGCTACTGTTTAGCAGTTTGTTCGAGGCACTTATCTGGGTGGTCAGGGAAGTTCAGTGTAAACATACAGTTTATCCGTAGGCTTTTACAATGGTCTCTTTATATTTTGTAAAACTACTGAAGAATTTTAAGCCTCTTCATTCTAATCCAATTTACAAAATGATCCTATAATTCCTTAGAACATGAACCATTTCTTTTAATGTGAACCGTCTCATAAGGTAATAGAAACCTGATTGCACTGTGTATAGAGGAAAGTGGCTGGTTCCAGCTTTTTGTGAATTCCGAAGCTTGTTTAAAATACAGTTTACAGACTCTGAATAGTAATAGATATTAAACACATCCACAAAAAATTTGTAGATTATTTTGAGGGACTACCTGTAAAGTTGCTGATGTGTGTTAGGAACTATTCACAGAAATAATCCCATTGCCTCTAATAAACATACTCAAAAGAATAAAGCTTCTCACTTATTAATGCTTTGCAGAAGTACGCCCATGCACCCAAGTTAATGCACGTTTCAGTGATGGAATAGGTAAAGCAGGGAGGGCATGCATGCAAGGGACAGAACACATGGAACAGCTTCCGAAATCCAGTGGCACTGAAACATCTTGATCGTAGTCTTTCTCCCCTGCTTTCTCATTCCTCTTGAAAATTTGGTCAGTTAGTACTACATTAATTCAGCTGCCTTCAGGTAGATCTATTTTCATTCTATAGTGAGTAGCAGAAAGTAGAGCCAAAGTTTTGCTCATTCTTTCCCCATCTATGGTTAGTGAACAACAGTTCCAATTAGTTTTATGTAACCAGACCCAATACTCAAGAAATCTGCAGAGCAGTACGTTATTCCTGCTCGGTTCTCCTGTGCAGTATAAAATGGGGTCTAGCCATTATGGATTAAATCTTCTGTTGTGATATGTTTGTCTGTAGTGCCCATCAATTCAGTTTGTGCAGGTATAATTAGCAGAAGCAGTGATAAGAGCAACTATTTCAAATTTTGAGGTTGCGTTTGTGCTTTGTGTACAGTTGTGTAAACAGAAGTATTCAACTGTGTTCATGAAATACATTTTACAGACACCAAAAGGAAGCCGAAGCTTTTGAGACTTCACTTAGTTCCCTCAGGAGTAGTCTATGCCTGTACAATGCAGGAAGACAAAACTAGCGAGTCAACCCAAGCATAAAGCACGCATAAATGCATAAAGCATACGCCATAAAGCAAAATGGTTGACACAATACTGTAATTAACAATTTTCTAATTGTTAATTTAGAAAATTGTTAATTTTCTAAGGCCTCCTCCCAACGCCCCCGCCTTGGAAATGTTAGCAAATGAGTTAACATTGAAATACCTGGTTAGATGTATCTTCTCAAGATAGCAGGCAGATGTTAACCTCTTGCAGAACTCTAACGTTCATGTTTGGTAGAAATCAGGTTAGAGGGGTTTAGACAGTTTCAGATTTATCACAGTACTGGCTTCATATGAAATATCCAACTGAAACTTAGAATATAATGCTGGTGTTTTCCTCCTCTTTAGAAACATTTCAAACACCAATTAAACTTTATGCAGTTAAAGATTACTTTTGAAAGCTTTCTGAGATATCAATACTAGCAGCTAAATAGCTTTAATGCAACACGGTTCTTTGTGGAGAGAGTATCATTCAGCACTAGCAGAGAATTCCACTGCCAGTTCAATCATTGAAAACAAATGCTTTGAAAGGATGAAATCTAGACAAGGCTGAAGTATGCATGATACCTGTCAAATGTAACAGAGCAGATTCTGTGCAAATCAAGAGC